GAGTGTCAGATTGTAAACTTTTACACAGGCAGTCCATCTTCACCTTATGGCACCTTTATCAGTCTTCAGACGGAACCTGGGCTAATGACGTGTCTTGCACTTCTTCTGACTTTCCGCCTACTGACTCGCTGACTCGCGCTTATGAAGCAAGAAAGCTGTAAAATCAGGCATGTCTTACGCGATTTCTGTTCACCCAGCCATTCGTCTTCCATCTGCTTATCTAGTGCAGGGCTGCAGGGAGGCCTAGAGCTCTTCCCAGGCAGAACAGGGTACAAAGCGGTCGAGCATTTGGACTGGAAGGCAGTCTATAACAGGCCACATACACGCCAGGGGCAATTCTAGGTTTTTTTTTAAAGGTGGATACATTTTGAATTGGCGACTGACAATGGGACTTTGGTGGCCAATCATCTTTCAGCTGGACCCCTGTGGCCCCGCCCCCGTATACGCCCCTGATGGATACACGCACTCACAGGCACAATAACATACTATGGGTAATTTTAGCAATCCAAGGTCTATGGATTGCAAAAGAAGACTACCTTAGGGAAACCTACATAGACACTGGGAGAACATGCAAATTCCACAGACTGAGTGGGGGCAGAATTCAAACCGCCAACCCTGAAGGTGTGATTTGACAATGTTACTCAGCCATTGTGCCATTTTCTGTTTAATTTCATACACAGTCGTTCTATTAATTGTTTTGCCGTTTTCTTCACCTCTTTCTCTCTGTGCCACTTGGTGTTAGCGGCTGAAGGATTAGCCGCCAGCTAATGAAGAAATTGCGCTCTTCTAGGTCGCTGCATTGCGACGCAGGCGGGACTCGCAGGTGCCACCGGGCACGCAGTTTGTCTTCGGCGGCTCGGAACCGCACGCCAACACGTGCTGTGGGGGGCCTTTGCCTTTTTTGGATTCCGAAACCCGTGCGTAGGGGGTGGATTATGCCCTGATTGCAGGTTTCCGCGGGCACGCAGCTACCTTTGATCACGCAGTCAAAGCTCCTCTTTATCATTCACCGTTTCCTATGGTTTCTTTTCAGCAGAAATAGCGAAATTCATGTTGGATTTCATGCAGCCGCTTCTAAACGGAAATGCAACACAGTGAGGGGAGGAAGCTATTGAACAGAAACGTAAGACATCCAAAACCGTCACTCGGCATAAAGACCTTCATAATTTCTGCTCGCTGCCACTTTCATCCTACACCCCCCTGAAGGTATTCCCAGGCTGTCTGCTTTTCCCTGTCGTTTTCCTAGATACAACACAGAGCCCACAATGTATTGAAAGCAGAAGGCTGACCCAAAAATAAAATGTCCAGGAGGGGCATCAAAGTCAAACACACCTATCTCTGAATTGTAGGTCACCCACCTTAATCCTGCGAACGAATGGTCCTGTGAACTGGAATACTCTCGTCTTCTTCATGCATTCTTCAGACCTCAAGAAGGCAACAATTATTCTTTAGAATGTTTACCTTCTAATCATGTGATGTTCTAAATCAAATTCTTATTTCATTCGTGGACTATTTTTACTGAAGGCAGCAGAGCGTGGTGTTGAAGGACATAGACTGTTAACCTGTACCTTACTGAAACCAGGCACTTAACCTCAATTACTTAAGTGAAGCATCTATCTTTAGAAATAACCAACATTGCATGTTGCCTTGGGCAAAGGTGTCAAATTTCAAATTGATAGCAGCCCCTGAAGGTCCAGTGCCTTCTAAGATTTTGCGGATGGTAAATAAAGGATTTGTGAGCAGTCCAGCTTGGCTGGATACTCAAAAGCTCAGGATCATGGGAGGGGGGGGGGGGTTGGGCGGTCTAAGCTGTCCACATTGTGGATGGTTACTGGTTCATAACAAAACCTTTTTGCGGTTTACCACTTACTGGAACCTCAAAGGGTACAGTTCTGGAATCAGGAGCCAGGCAAGGTTGGCAAAATCCAATCCGGTGCATGTTTTCCTGTGTTTTTTAGCAAGCATGAGTAACAAAAAGACAAACTCATCAAAGAAGAAGCCTTTGCCAGGTCAACAAATTTAGAAGGATGAAAAACCCAGTCTGCAGCCAAAAATCCGACGAGACTGCTGAATCCCCCTTTTTAGAGATGTAAACCACTTAATCACTTCATGTGCAGGGTTGGCGCTAGAATGATCACATTCGCCGTCTGCTTGTGAAAGGTTGCTTTGCTTGGATGGAAAGTCTCCCAAAAGCAGAACTGTTTGCAAAGGCTTTAGTTTCTGCCCAGCATGGAAGATATCTAACATTCTCCTCAGTATTCAAGGGACTGGCAGTTGAGGATTACAAAGGCCATCTGAGGGCTTTTCCTTGCAAACTGGTCAGCTGTGCTGGCGAAAGGTTCTTGGAAAGTAATCAATGAAACAAACATTTAAAAACCAGTTTCACTTTCGACTAACATCAAGTTACTGCGCTTTTAAAATTAAAGGTAACTTTAATGTGATTGGTTGAATGAAATACCATATTGGCAGAGGTTGGATATTTCTGGTCCTGCCACTAAAGATCTAGACCAAGATTTTGTTTCAACCAATGAGTTGAGTACTCTGTGATTGTGACTACGCAACTCATTGGTGAAAACAAAATCTTGGTCTGGATTTTTACCTTCTGGACCCGAACTATCCACCTTGGGGCACATGATGCCTGAAAATATGGCTACTGTTTTCTAGTGGCTTACTTTGGTCTGTGATAGCAGGTGAGATCCTCTCCAGCCTGCCACTACTCTTTCATAAAATAATGGCAAGATGGATGGATGGATGGGAACTCAAGCACCTGAAATGTGGGCAGGCCTGCGGGGGCGGGGGAACGACTGCTACTTTGGCCATTGAAAAATGAGGAACTAAAGGTCAGCTTGGTTCCTGAAAGGCGGGAGATTTCACGTATTGTACGTATCAGTCGCTCATATTTTCCATGGGGTACGTGGGACGCAGATCCAGCACGTCAGCGTGGCGCGGGATCTACGCCCTGGATCTCGGCTGAATGTTCATTTGTGTTCGCGTAGGTGTTTATGTCTTGGTCTTCCAGGTGAACAAACACTCCTTGCACAGAAGCTCTCATCGGCACAGGACTGCATCTGCATGCCCATTATTGGGCTTGTCCATCACAGCCCTCATCTGTCCATGAGGCGGGGAGACTTTCATTTAATGCCTTCTGGGGGTAATTAATACCCCGGGCTGGTGGCTGAGCATGTGCTGTGCACACTGTGCTTTTTGTGTGACAGCTCCCCTCTTTTGTAGACCCTTTCTCAGGCTTTTTGAAACCATATCTCTCAACACTGTGTTGTCACCAAAGGGCGGTGTGTATGTGTGTGGGGGGGGAGGTCATCTTTATTGCCTTGTACCATTTGAAAGCAACATTACAGGATAGCAAGCCTACTGTCGTCAGTTGGGAATTCCTTGTGTGTGTGTGTGTGTGTGTGTGTGTGGGGGGGGGGGGTCGTCAGATCCCCACAATGTGATTAAAAACCTGTTATTTTGAAGTTGTGAGGACAATTTTTTTCGGTCCCCACAAAGGGGAAATTCAATTTTATAAAAATCTGTGACTACAATCAAAAAACGAAAAATGCCAAAATGTCTTGTATTTTGTTTAATTACTTATGGTTTATGTTAAGGGCTGGGTAGGGGTTAAGGTAAATTATCATTGTTGGGATTAGGGATTTACCCATAGAAATGAATGGACGGTCCCCACAAAGGTATGACTGTATGTGTTTGTGTGTTTATGTACATTTGTGTATCATATACATACCTGGCAGTGCACCTTCCTGGTTATGGGTTTATCTGTTTCCTTCTTCTCCTGCGAACCTTTTTAGGAATCGGAATGGGGTTTATTGGCTGAGTGTCTTCACACACACAGGAAATCTGTCTCCGGTAGTCAGCGGCGGTTGATATATGCAAAGTGTATGTGGGAATCATTATTGTATAAAATCTGGAGGAGTGCGTGCCAGCGTAAGGAATGCGCTAGTAAATACAGTATGAACACAACAATACAGTAAGTACAATGCGGGGGGAGTGCTCACAGCTTCAGAGTTGGGGGTTTGTATTTAATGTGCATGCGGGCAAATGAATGCCGAACTGACCTTACCTAAAGGATTTCTAAAAATGAACACCTATTGTTTACATAGCCAACCCAGCTAAATCACCCATAACCAACTAACAAGTCACTCGGCAGTGTATCTGCTTTTTAATAATTAAGAGAAAAAATTCAACACGTGAGACTGATTCGGCTAACATTTAAATACTCCGTATGGTGCCGAATAAATAGCTTACTTATCAAACTGCATTATTTGCATCGCCGTTTGTATTAAGTTGTGTTTGTATTGTCGGCGCTGTTTTGGAGTCTCATGCTTGGCCTATGTGTCTGGACACGGCATTAAAACGTGATTTGTAAATTACTAATGAATTATCGTTGGTTAACAACCTTCCTGAGGCTCGCGCGGTGGTAAAGGTAAGGGGGTGGGGGGGGGGGGGTTGTTAATCACCTGCCTGTGCGAATGAGGGGGTCTCGCCGCTCCCAGGGGGCCCTCAAGATGAAGGACGTACTTAACATTTAGGCGCCCCCCCCCCCACCCCCCAAACCTCATGCGTCTTGGAAGGAAGATAAAGATTAGGCTATGCCGAGAAAGATCTGTCTTTATTTTCTATATATTTTTTTTTTATTATTTTTTTTAGTTTTTCTATTTTTTTAAATAGGCTAAAAATGAACATCCATTGTTTATATAAGCCAACTGGGATAAATCACCCATAATCGCTAACAATTAGTAACTCTCAGTGATTCTGTTTTTAAAATAATGTTTTTAAATGTTTTTTTTTTAAATTATTTATAAAAACAGAATTGCGTGTAATTTAATAGGCTATTGTTTTAAATGTAGGCCATAAAATGGCCATTACTAATTTGTTTCACGTCAACTATATATTTTAATATTACAGTTGTACAGTTTTGTACCTGCTGGACAAACGTAAGCTCATACTTGTTCATTTCGATTTACTGTCCTTCCTCCTTCACGCAGCGCGACGGCAGCTCCGAGACCCCGCCGGCAAATCGACTGCCGTTCGCCCCCCCCCTCCCTCCTCCTAATGCCTTCTCTCCCCTCCTTTCCTCTCCCTCCCTTTCGCTGTTCCCACTGTATCTCATTCACTGTCTGAGCGGATCAAGCACACTTCACTCCTCGGGCAGGATAAGGCAAGAGGAACATGGGTTTCCTGCGGGACGCTTTCATCTTTACGGCCCTACATTTCCTCCTCAGAGCTTGTCGAGGTAAGAGAATAACGAAAAGCTTGGTGGCCCATTTAGTAATTTTGCAAAACTTCGCGCAGTTCCTCTCCGATGGCCGTTTCAATGAAAAGTCACCGAGTCTGCAGTGGGGTGTCAGCCAAGGATGCAAGACCCCTCGGTTATACGAGGTTAAACATTTTTATGTGCAAAAGAGTTTAATGCACAATAAAACATAACATTTTATTTCTGAACATAAGTTGACTTCTTTTTTGTTTCTTAACCACGTTAAGAGCGACACAGACTTCATGTGCTCTGAAGAAGGTTTTAAACGAGACATGCCGACTGCGCACGAATCGGTTCACGGTCTAACGGATCCAGTCTTACATGCTGAGATGTTTTAACTCTAAGTCCCGTGCATGAGCCATAATAGATCATTTAAGCATTTCTTTATGTCACATATCTTTATAAGCGATATATCATTTCGAAACACCACGCATCTCTATTTTTGCATTGAAGTATTTAGCCTACTGTTTATATTTGTTCCCAAACGTAAAACTGTCAGTTTTAAGGGATGCCCTAGTTATACATGTGAAATGACTGCAATGCTGAACCAGAGCACTTTTTTCAAAAACAGATTTAATTTAACGCACAGTAACCGTTCTGTTTACCCTTTAACACCCCCACCTGCCCTCAGTAACCCGAGTTAATCGTGCAGCACCGTTTATCAAAATGCTGTTTTCCAGGTGTCTGTCAGCTGAATGGAGTTTATAGCATAAGGGAGCGAGTTTTTTTGTACAATTTATGGTATCTTGGCGGATTCTTACACTAAATTCAGTGCTGTTTCTTGACACGTTTATTGGGAAAGCAGTGTAAGAAAAGATTTATTACCAGTGGCCACCGAAATGCATTAATTTTTTCAGTTAGTCGGTAATCTTTTGTAAAGCTGTCTTTTGAGTGTAAAATGATAAATCTAAATGTTCGTACCACGTATTCTTGGCCATTACATGAAAGATATAAGCGCTAGGAGCATATATAGTTTGCGTTATTGATTTAAAAAAATATCATTGTCAAACTTTTAAACTGCAGACGTTTTTTTTTTAATCAGCTGAACCAAACTTTCTTTTAGTCGGCAGCCCGTAAATGGTGGAAGGTTACAAGCCTTTCTAAAGGGACGCACCTTCTGCTGAGCTCTGACCACTTGAAATAATGGATGAGGAACAACTGGTGCACGAGTGGGGAAAAGATGGTGGTGGAATCTAGGTTTTAGGGACCGACGCTTTGTTTCAGGGCTCGGTTTGAGGGATTTCCCTGGATTATCGGGAGGTGCGCGCACCTTTAAACAGGCGGCTGCGTTTTCTTAGCTCCCGCTACGGTGTCACACGGAATCCCGGTTTAATACGGATTCCGCACTGAATACGCGCTTCGCTTCGCGTTATAAGGATTTATAGATTTCGGCCCATAGTTTTCTGGGGAATAATACAGTGGCAGCATCCCTAAATAGAGCATCTGAAACAGGGCACATGGAAATCATGCTTGCAAAACAACCGCCAGCTCAGCGTGGCAGCGGCGGGATAGATCGTCAGCTCTGTCTTTATAAGTTACCCAGAGCTGCTTTTGTAAATGAGTGTTTTTTTTGTTTTTTTGTTTTTGTTTTCTCTGAAAGCGGAGGATGAGATGTGGGTGTGGCTCTTGTTTGCCGCCCCCCCTTATCAGACTGTACATTTCGTGTGTGTTGGGGGGGGTGGAGGGGGGTGTATTTGAACTTCTATTTAGCTGAGACCACTGTAACCCCCCAGCACTCCCATCATTGGCTACCCTGGAAATCCCCCCCCTCCATTAGTCCCCTCTGTCTATTTATCTTTCCCTCCCTATGCTACCCCCCCACACACCCACCGTCTCTGTCATTTTAGTCCCCTTGCTCCTAACCCCCCCCCCAAACACCCCGTGCATTTTCTTAACAGGTCTGCCTTTTTCTCCTCCCTGTTTAACCTTTATCCATCGGGTCACTTACCCCCTTGACACCACCCTCTCGTCTTCTCGTTCTTCCATCACTCACGCCAAAGCTGTCTAGAGGTGGACGCTCAAATTACCTGGACTGAAGTGATGGCAGGGGAGGCATAAAGCTTAATATGGCGTGATAGTGCCTTTTACTTGAATTGGGTATTCTCCATTATGCTGGACTGACATTAAACGGCGCACGATACAATGCGAAAGTAATGAATAGATGTAGAGGAATGTACTGCCTTGCATCCTGCTTCCTAAATGATTCCTAGCACACACGCAAATGTCAAATTTGCTTTATTACGGTATGTAATCTTTGTTCTGTCTGTGAGGTTCACCCGGGTAAATTACTTGTTGCATGACTGGTTGTGACGTACCCTCAAGAACACAGAAGCGCTAGTCTGTTCATATCAGGACAGAAAAAAAACTGTAAGAATTACAGGAATGATCAGGATTACGACTGGCTGGGGTTATTATGTGGAGATGATTGCTACTCAGACAAACATCAAATGCTCTACAGAGATTCCACAGAGCGATTCGTGTTTGTGGGTGGGGTGGGTGGGCGTGTGTGTCTGTTTGTTTGTGTGTGTGCAGGTCGGAGGAACCTGCCTCACTGGCACCTTACTTCTGCAAAGTCACGGAAAACGTGTTTGGTGAGCTGCAGGGTTTCATCGGTCAATGGAGATCAGCAGGCTCTCGCTGAGGATAATTACAGGCCTCTGGACCCACTCTGGTCACTTTGTGGCCCCAGGCTATTACTAATGTCAGCCTGGCTAGAAGCTGAGCTCAGCTGATCTGCACAAAGAAACCTCCCACGTAGATCTTGGAGGGTTGGTCTTAATATCTCACCGATGTTGTTGGGAGAAAGCAAATTCACATTGAGCACCAGGAAGACGAGCATGGGCTTGGCTTTGGTAGTCAACCACGTTACCTCAGGCTTCTGTGAATCACCTGTGCTGAGTCTACAGCAAGAGCTTCTCAGAATGTGTTGACAGGCAGCCTGCGAGAGAGACTCCAAAGTGGAGATACTGGCTCTTCTTCACTGAGACGTCGCCTGTTTTGCGTTGACATGCTCCGGGCCGACAAAGGCATCCCGCTCTGGACTTCCTGCCCCAGAGGGCGGCAGATGACCGGCGTTGACGGCTTCACAATGGAACGTTGTTCTTTTCCAAGGGGGCCATTTTTGGCGGCACCGCGGTCGTGCAGCTAAGAAGTCGTCTGACACCAAAAAATGTGTGACTACAAGAAATGAATTCTTTTCATAGTAAAAAGTTAAAGAAGCTGGAGGGACCCTATTTAAACTGATAGAGAGATGTTGGATGGTCAGACTGAAAAGGACGCCCAATCAGTGAGGCCTGCTCCTAGAGCATTGCATTATGGGTAGAGTTTATTGTATATTGCTGTTACAAAAATGGCCCATCATAAAATGCTTATTTCTTTGTTTAAAAAATTCTGCTGGATTTCTAAACGACTGCGTCTGCTTTCAAAACGACACATCAAAACATCGCTTTTGTACTTTGCATTCCAGCCTCGTTTGCTTGTTTTAATGCTTTAATTTGCATAACTTAGTGATGCTGGGTAGTTCTGTTGTACCTTATCTGGTTTCGTCTTTGCTTGTCACACAACCCCTTAGCACCAGCGGGTCAATAAATCTACTTACCCGACTGGTCCTGGTGTCACAAGATGAAAAGATAAGACCTAACCCATTTCTTCCAGTCGCTAATCCTACTTTGGTTTTCTTGACCTTTTGTGTCTCCTCTTCAATACTCCCTCCCTACATAGGATCCCCTTATCTTCAGTCTTCAGGATCCCCCCCCCCCCCCCCCCCCCATCCTTACCCCCGTCCTCCACCAGGACCCGCAGCCAATGTGTTCAAAGTCAGCCGATCGAAATCCTCCCCAAAAAGCCGACCAGGGCAGCCATAATGCATAACCAATCAGGCATTCAAGCTGTGTATTTCCAGGTGCCTCTAAACATAATCAGACGTGTTTCCCCCTTTGAATTCCACACCCTACTAGCTCCTGAGGGGCTGTGCAAGTGCTTGGAGACACCATCTGATAACTTACTCAAAAACTCGTCACCCGTCTTCACACATCGTAAACTATCATAAACCTCCATCGCCCGAGTGCCGCCAGAGGAGTAAATGTTTTCTTTTCTTTCGCTATCCGGCGGATCTCGTGGTCTGACCGAAACAGGTTATATCTTTCATCCATTTCACCGGAGACCTGGAGGATTTACCTGAACAAATGAGACTTTAATTACCTCGCCCTGGCTGTCAGCGGAAGATTCCAGACGCTACATCACCGCCGGTCCTCCTGTGTTTTGTCATCTTGATGTGGATCAGAAAAGTCGAGGGGGGGGGGGGGGGGCTAGAAAAGAAGCCCACCTGCTCGTGGCCTTGGAAACCCTGTAGTGGAGGGAGGCCCCCATCGGCCTGCCCCAACCTGTGCCTGCACCGTTTTTTGTTTTTCTCCTGCGCTGAGTGCCTGCTTTGTTTTCCTTTTCTGATTCTTTTTCGTTTGAGTCGCCTTTTTTTGTAATACAGTACATTTTGCTTCTGGATATTATCTCAGGACCGGGTGGAGGTTGGCAGGCATGGTACGGTTGGATCGTCTTTGTCACGGCGAGCTATGGGCAGTTGTGCCGGGAGCGGGCCTCGTGACCCATCCACGCCGCATTTGCCGTGTTAAAATGCAATTACCGCGTTCTGATCCCTGCCAGAGACGCAAGGGCGCCGGATTGTGTACCTCCACTCCTCTGGGGCCTTGGGGGTGTTGTCCGAGCTTAAGCTGCGCCGGGCACACACAATCCTTATAATCTCACCGATGACACTGCATTTTAGAAATGCTCCTGGCTTTGCTGTGTGCAAGCAAACAGATTTCCCTCTTTTTAAGCAAGCTGGCAATGCGTGTGGGTGAACAGTGGAGGGACTTCCTTAGGCGGCCATCTTTTTTTTTTTACACAGTTTCCCAGAATGCCACACACTGGTTTTACTCAGCAGCCTATGATTAGTCAGGCGATGGCTTAATCATGAGATAGCA